AGGAAACTGTGGATTTAGCGAGTCGGACATAACTCTTGAAGGCATGGATCGATGTTCATGATTTTTGGCAGGCAGGTTATCGTTGTGGAGACCAGGACCACTTACTTACCAAATTTCTCTGAAATGCTAGAATTGGGTACTGAATCTGATCCACTGAACAGTCGTAAAGGTTAATGGTCATTTGGAGAAGGCATGGGGTCGTGGTCGTGGAAATCTAGTTATGAATTAAATTGCCTTCCTTTGTCGGGAAAAAGAAAACAAATGTTACATAACTGAAGTTCCAGACCAGCGCCAGTCAATAGATAGACTGGCGACATGAGCAAGCACGTCTCTGTCTTCCGTCCTAAATCAATCGCAGACTGGGAGCAGACAAGATCTTGATAAAGAAATTGCCTCTTCCGTCAAAAACCCTGGGAGGGTTTCCTTTTGTGGCCAGACAGTGAACCATCTGAGGCGGTAACAGAGCGATCGATCCTGGAAGTCTGACGGTTCAGACCAAAAGGTTCCTTTTCATCATTAGAGATATTGAAGTTTTCCGTGATTAACAGTTTTGTGATATTCATTGGTATTCCAGCATTTTATGACAAGACATGGTGACGCCAAACTCAACTTTTTCTCAACTTATATTATGCCGTTACCGACGCAGAGGACAAATACAAGACAGGACAATACTTATTTTTAAATGAGTCAAGTGAGGAAAGTCGTGTAGAGTGCCTTTCGCAAGGGCACAAGATCGGTGGCATGGCAGGGCTGGAACTCGGGAAGCATGGATTTCGAGTCGAGCACTCTGACGTTACTACTTATTCATTGGTACAAATGGAGAACTCGGTTGAAGCTAATATAATAGCTGATTCAGCTTGTCTGTATACTCTGTATGCTGTCCTGTGGCGTGGGTGGTTATCGACTTTCCTGTTTCGCAACACGGAGCAACTTCCGTGGATCCATGGGCGGGCTGATTCAAAAGTCTTCCCCGCTCGGACGCGTTGCGGCCCGGGGAATACGCCTTGTATGCATGAGGGACCTTCACGCGTTAGCCTCAAGTGTCAATCCTTTGCACATATGACAATGACAATGATGTTTATTTGCACGTTCATGCCCATGAGGGCTAAGCGCAGTACATGTAGTTTTAAATGAGTCCTATAAAAACTACAGAAAAATTCTACAGAAGTGCTACACTACATCTATTGCATACAGATGGATGAACATACTCGGATAAGGTTAACATTGATTATATAGTTATATACGTGTTTCTTCGCTCTTTTAAAAACAACGAGCCGTGGCGAAGCAAAATTGCGCTAGTTGCTACTTGAAAAAGCATCACGCTTCACCTAAGTAGACGAAGAAATACACAACGTTATTTGCTTAATGGTGAAGTAGTATAATTTGCAAACACCAAACTACTCCGATTTCATAAAGATGCGATCATTTTTCCTGGTAATATTCTCCCGAGTCATGTTATCATCAAAACACTCCAATTTGCATGTTATAAAACGGACAGTTTTATCAGCGGGACGGCACGTAAAGTTATGTACTGTGTCGTTACGGCTGGACTAGAAGAGGTATTTCACCCCTCACGAATGTGCATTTCGTAACACAACCAGCCATTATATAAATGGCGTTTCCTTTAGAGGAAACTAGCCTCTACCAGGCCTTTCTAAGCGGTTATAGATAGTAGAATCCGGTAAGAACATATGAATAGTTGGCCAGGAGAGTCAGGCCAGTGGTAAGGGTAACGATTTACCAGAATTATTGGAGCCAGTATACTCTATTTAGCCTTAGTAACTCTAGTAACTGTAGATTGGCTGGGCTGTATGCATATCGGTAAATAGTCGTAGAGTTCGATTAAATCAAATGTCGTGGAGTTGCATTAAGTTCGCAAATGGCCCTTACACCATTATGTGGGGCTTTATGATGGCTAATTACATTCTGGAGACGACAGGAAAACTGCATAGGAAAGGTTAGTCATTACAGATGTAAAGTTGCGTACTGTATCGCTGCAAGCTGCACTGATGGCAGCCATTTGATACGCCTGGAGGACATGTCTTCAACGATGCATGGATCATCAAACAGAGACAGTTTTCTCTTCATGATGGATACACCTTTCACTCCTCAGTTCAAACAGGAAACTCCGATTTAAAACTTACGCGTTATCTCGTCAGAACACGTGTACAGCAAGGTCTAAACGGCGGCATTTTAATCAGGATTGATACTAAACCGTCAAATTTGAACACGAGAGTTTTATATTTGTTTATAGGTGGTTCATTTAGAACGTCGAGTTTATTATAGATAACCTTGGCCTTTTGTAACATCTCGTCTTTCCGTTAGCACTTTACGACGCAATGTATTAGGAAAGTTTCCAGGGATTCTTGTTTAAAGTTACGGTCGTTTTAAGAGCATTTCCATTGCCGAGAAGTCGTTAAGGCGAATGCTGTGGAGTAGTGTTTAGTTGTTCAGTAGAGGAGTCAATAACATTACATTGAAGCATGAAGTACTAGTAGCCCTCAAACGTTTCGTGTTTGAATCCAGTTTAGGTGTTGCAGATAAATCTCTACTATAATTAGACTCAATCCGTGTCAAATGGAAGAGACATACTGAGAACTTCCATGAGCTTGTCAAAAAGCTTCCAGGAACAAACTACACTTATCAGGTACCTGCAGAGGATGTCATCCATAAAATTTACCTAATGAGTATTTCCAATGCCCTGGGCGGTAACCGTGACAGTCACAGGAAAGCCCAATAAGCTTAAGGATGCTACATAAGGGCTCATTTGCTTGGCTGGTTGGAATGAACTTGCGTAACCGAGAGAAAAGCTCTACAGGCCATGGATCATAGTCATAGTCGCTGAAAGAGGTTCTCTGCACTTCGTCTGATTGCTGGAATCCAGTCACCCTCTCGACATAATCGCCCATACAGGAGTCTGGTGGATGATCGATGACCACACCAACCCAAATTTTGGTCGCGGTTGCCGTCTCGCTGAAGGGGCCTTACGGTTAATCCGAAGAGTTGCCATTGAGAGATCCTGGAGTGTCTGTGGGAACGCGGACCTGTGGTTTTGGCAAACTTTCAAACAGCGGCGATCTCATCGCCTAGTGGTTTTTATCGTGGCTCGTGGCTTCTGACATCATTAAGACACAATCTAGGTTTATTACCGCGGCAGAAGGGCCGACAGACTGGCGCCAGTTCGTGTGAGAACGTTCTGCCTGCTGGTTTCCAGAGATGTCCGGTCGTCTCCATGTGCAGATATTACACGTTATACATATACAATCTCTTACATGGTCATCGCGTCCAGCCAAACTGTACCATGCGAGGAACAGTCCAGGGAGGACGAAAGAGGGGTAGGAAACGGAAAATATATTCCACATCCTTACGCTATGCATTTACAGTATCTGAGCATGATCTAGAGATCAGCATTGTCGGAGGTTCTAATATTGTTGTAGACATTGAAAGAGTTGGGCATGTAGTGCTTATTTTGATGATTTTGCCATCCTTACGGTTGGTGTTTGGTAGGTTTCGGAATACTCATGTAAAAATTCAGTTCCTTTACCTTGTATAACTGTTTGTTATTCACAGAAAATTTGGCTATGTATTCTTTTATCAACAATATCGTGTTCCTGATTTCTGGCGCAGGTAAATTCCCCCAATCATCAGATTAGAGAAGGGTGCTTTTTCTCCTCAGTCTTAAAGATAAACCGCCTTATTAGGAGGTCGGAATAGGCAGGCATCTTTATCTAGCAGCCAAGAATAGCCCCTTTCATTCCAAATAAAATGTTCTAAAGAAAGCACGACAGAGTGTGGCTCAAAATAGACTGCTTTATTTTTGTCCCAGCTGTCGGTAGATAAACAACTAGTATTAAGTGCTCCTTGCTTGCTTAGAAGTTATCGTCTTCTATACAGATATGTGCTTAGTGTTCATAGTGTTTGGTACAGAGTATATAATACATTATATATTCAACAAACAACACCTGCATATGTAGTTAGACAATATTAAATGTGTACACATATACAAATATTATATTTTCACCGACACATGATTATACTATTTTACACACCTCCAATTTCGTATATTTGCACAAAAACCATCACAGTCTGTGTACGTACCTGCAGATTTTTATTAAACGTTTGCACATTTACGTTAAATGTTTGAATACCATAACGTTGACTCGTACCACCAAACTAACTTAAACAGAGTTTTTATTATTATTAATTTGATATTAATTATTATTTACACATCGTATACTGATAACATGACTTTGACTCTATTATTTCTATTTCATTAAAGACCAAAGATACCGTTTCACAACTATGTACAGATGCCCCATGTCCCATTATTGCTTCGTATTATATAATCCAGCGTGTCTTCTGACCAGAATCACTTTGCCCAGAACGCACAGTCACCGTATCTCAACGAGTCCTTTTGATCTCATGAAGTCATTTCTCATTTTCTAACTGCGCTACGATGAAAACCTTACATTAATTACAAACGTTAACAACACCATCATTCGAATGAGCCTGCTCTCTTTGTTGCCGTAAATTGCATGAAGTTTCACACATTTATTCTGGATTTTAATAATAACCTCTAATATCTTTCCATTTTTAAAACGACCAGCGTTGATGAATCTTTTCGTCACAAGACAGCTTGAATTTGTACATCACACCCATGACTGTCCCTACAGTTGTTTAAAATAAAAGTGACCGAGCCTTGAAAGCACCCAAAGTGATTTCAGGGCGGTAAAACTGGATTAACAAAGTCAATTTTTTCTGGTCAGTTTTAAAAGTAGTTAATTGAATCTCATATCCTACAGATATCTGTGAGGCAAAAATGCGATGTCCCTGATGGAAAATGGTTGCTTGTTTCGTATCGTAAGCTGCTTTTAGCTATTTGTTGGTGGTAGCAAAAAAAGAGACTCATCATGAAGCGGTATTGGGGCTATTTCAAATGCTACAAACATGAAATGATGTCAAACATGTGCTAAGAAATTGCAGTAAATATCAGTATTAGACAGATTTTCTCATCTAGTATTTTTGTTTTATTTAGCCGCCCTGAAATTGCATTTTAATGCAATTAAAGGTATTTAAAAATACCTTTAAAAGGCATAGGAGACGGTGGCCACGGGGTGCATCTCTCCGTCAGGAGAGGTCGGGGACACCTCCGCCGTGCGCCGGCCGCGCAGCCGTGTCACCGTCGTACGGGCCTTCTTCTTCTTCCGCTCCCTAACGGAACGAAAAAATAGGCCTTAGCTTGAGAAAACACAGAGATACCAGTACTGAGACTATGACTGAGACACAGCAGACAGAGACGAATAGGGGGGATAACAAGTAACTTCCCTGACGCACAGGTAAATATGAAACGACTCACCTGAGGCACAGGTAAATAAGAAACGACTCACCCACACAGGTGAAATAGAGATGACTTAAATGACGGACAGGTAGATGAGAAACGCCTCACCTGACGCACAGGTAGATGATGGGGTGCGCCGAGCTGTTGAGGTACGTGAGCCCGACCAGGCTGATCTGTACGTACAGGATGGAGGAGTGGGCCGGCAGGGCGGAGTGATAGTACAGCAGCTGGAGAACTCCGAACGGCAGCCAGCACACATAGAACATCACCGTCACGGCAAGGACCTGGACAGGGACGGGGACCATGGAAATCCTTCATGTGGAGATTTTTTGAGGTGCTAAGGTTATTTAAGGTGATAGATAGATGGTGATAGAGGAAAAAGACCTATGATGAATGTTATGGTATGCAATATCTATGATGGTTCGTCTTGTTATTTTTACTGTGTGTTATGTGTGTGGGGGGATGTGTGTGAGAGAGTGCGTGCGTGTGTGTGCTTCTGATTCTGTATCTGTGAGCGTGCGCGTGTCTTTTCATATGTCTTTGTGTGTGTGTGTGTACATGTGTGCGTATGTGCGTGCGTGTGTGTGTGTGTGTGTGTGTGTGTGTGTGTGTATGAATGTTAAAACTATGGATTCTGCAAATACAGTTGAGCTTTTATTCCTGTATGTTTGTTCTTATTGCTTATGCCTTAAGATGATTGATACCTAACAAAATGAAACCCCCACCATTTTGGCGACTCTCCGTTTGTCCTTGTTGCTCTTGGAGCTGTTGGAGGTGGGCGCGACTGCAGTACAGAGTTTGGTCACCATGCGGCCGTAACACACGCTCACCACCAGCAGGGGGACGGGGAACGCCAGCACAAACGTCGCCGTCATGTAGGACCTGGGGCGGGAACCAAGGAACGAATGGATGAATGAATAGATCGAAAGAAGAACGAATAAAGCAATTAGCGAATAAATGAACAAATGCAGGAATGAATGAATGTACGAATGTTGTTGTTCGTCCGTCGTTCTCGACGATGACCAATGACATGAATGAATGAACGAATGAATGAATGAACGGATTGATGGATGAACGAATAATCAAGTAAAGGAATGAATGAATGAATGAATGAATGAATGAATGAATGAATGAAATGCAATCAATTAATAAATGGATTATATACAGATTAACCATTTCGGAATCGTGGAATATAGCCTCACAATCACCAAACCTTGAATATTGAACTTATTTCCCGACTATTTGGCACAACAGTAGTGCTATTTCTTCAGTAAAGCCCCATCACCTCTTGCTGTTCTCTGACGGCCAGTCGATGACGCAGTTCTCCGGGAATTCATCTGTATCCATCCGCGCGAAGACTGCGATGGGCAGAGACAGGACGAAACTGACCAGCCACACGCACACCACCGACAGTCTGGGGATCAATCAATCAATCAATCAATCAATCAATCAATCAATCAATCAATCAATTAATCAATCAATCAATCAATCAATTAATCAACCAACCAATAATCAATAACTGTAAAGACGCCAGACGCACACCATCTGGTTCTGGGAATCGATAAGCTTACATCAAAGCAAGAAATGAAGGGTTAGTGACCCGCCCCGAATAAAATGAATTAATTAGATACATAATAGTACACGAAGTGACAGATAAATAATTAATGCAATCAAAACAAAAATATGGGGTTTAATCATATCTGGCTATATATGAGGTATGAATAATCAAGAACTAGAAGACAACATGTAGAGGAACATGTTAAAAAAGTTAAATCGCAGCAGTCACACTCGCCCTATTAATTGAACGAGGCACTAAGCCAGGTAACTTAGTCATGCTTTATTCAGCATGTTTAGTCGGAGTATGTTAAGTGTTTAAGAGTGCGCTGACCGGGAGACGTCGGGCGGTGAACCCAGGAGACATCTATCTGTGACAGGAATAACCAGACGGGGCCTGACCCCAATAAAGCGTCTGGCCTTTATAAGAACGGCTAATTCATTTTCTGGGAAAGAAAGCCACGCGGGGGTGATCTATGTGGAGTTCTAAATGATAAAACAGCTAAGATTCGGTCCCACAACTACTGCAAGACTGTGATAAAATAAGGTGGGCGTAAAGATGGCTCTGGGGTTTTAAAAACTAAACAGAGGACATAAACCATTCCTGTGGTAAGAATCAAACAGATTATAACAAGGCGCTTGTGGGGTCGTGAGGCGTAACGGCAGAGTGCTCGACTCGGAACTAAGAGGTCCCGAGTTCGAATCCCGACATGCCACCGATCTTGTGTCCTTGGGAAGGGCACTTTACACTAGCCTGGTTACCAAACCTATTATAGCTCCCGAGTCCTACAGCCTCTCCTCTCAGGCTGTAGGACTCGGGACCTATAATAGGTTTGGTAACCAGGCTACTTTACACGACTTTCCTCACTTAACTCAAGCGAAAATGAGTATTGTCCTGGCCTGCATTTGTCCTATGCATTGGTGGCGGCATTAAATGAATTGATATGATTTATCAAGCTTTAGTGTGCCGTCACCATGCCTGGTCATGAAATGTTGGAATATAAAAAACAAGGCGTTTAAAACAGGCGTTTGTAACAAAAACGAGAAAGGGTTTCAAACTGCTACATGGCACCCGTTACTTTCCTACAGCTAGTTTCTCCTACGGTAACTTCTTACTTGCAACATATGCAACGTATGGTTAGCGTTATATAAATCGACGGAAGGGAAGAAAGAAAGGAATCGCATGTCAGCGAAAATCAAGCAAATTGACTGCGTTACATAAAGGTAGAGTAAACGAGCTATATCCTGGTGCTGATTGATGATGGTGTGCATGTTTGAACGGTTTAATAGGACTGGCGTAGTTGGGACGTTACGCAAGGCGCACATTAAAGCAGCTGCCTGATTGTTAACCGGGCCGCTGACGTTTTCCTGGAAACGAATTCCCTTTGAAGATAGGAGCACCATCTTCCAGGTCACTACCCGTGCTGCAGTGTACGTAACGGATAGTGCGTGGGACAGCTTACTAACGATATTCCAACTGAAGTTAACAAACTCTCTGCTTGACTTGTCACAATCTTTCAGCTTGTCACGTACGATTCCCAATTATAGATGAAGCTGCTGCCTTCCATCCTCTTAGACGGACAACTTAGTCTTGATGAAATTTCAGTTCAGCTTAACGAACGCTCTGTGAAGATACTCTAAGTACAGACGACCTGTTGATTAAAATTAATGAGTGCACATTGAACATTAGCAGCCTCAGCCGTCCGGGTGTCTAGGGGTTGATAGCAGCCATCACCCCTCTCCATCTGCGTCTGTAATCAACTGATAACGACATTTCACCTCACGAGTCTGCCTGGCATGTCTGCCAGGGTGATAGAGATCAGCCAGATAAACATGAGCTTATTATTATTATTAGCCTCGTTAACGCTATCAAGGTGATAGTACGTGAGACGCATGAGGCACTAATAGCTACATTATTAGGGCACGGTCACATTTCCAAGCCGGGACCCGACCGGGTTGTTTGCGTGAACGAAAAATAAACATTTTGTATTAAGAGTATACACAAATAGTGCTCATGGGTAATTTTCTAAACCTTTTTTGTGCTTTGCAGTCTTATATCATAATTTTCGTTCCATACGACTGCCCGGCCGGGCCCCGGGTTGGGAAATGTGACCGCGCCTTTAACCGGACTAGATTGTACGCTGCCGATGGACTGTTTGATGTTCATTTCTTGTGCTGAGGTCAACTCAAACTTGGAGCTAGCTCGTGATGCAGTGTGCCAAAACGTAGCGTCAGTGAAGTGCTACCGGCACCACAGCAACCATATTTCTGTCACATCCCCCTCGAGTCGAATCGCTCTGGTTCTCAAAATCTGCTCAATCTGGATGACATTTATCAATTCAACTTCACGAAGACTCTCTTTGCAGACATTTGCTATGTTGATGAACACTGATGAGGACACATTCAAGATAAGCAGAAGCAGCCCTCCGTGTTTTAAATAGAGATGAGAGCAGGCAGTCAGCTGATAATGACATTTCAATTAACACCTCACGGGGCTGCTTGGCATGTCTGCCTGGGTGACAGAGATCAGAGAGTTAAACATGATCGTATTAGCTTCGTTAGCGTTCTCAAGATGATCGTACGTGAGACGCATGAGGTACTGGTTACTACAATAACCAGACTAGATTGTACGCTGCCCATGGAGTTTGTTTGTTGTTCATTTCTTGTGCTGAGGTCAACTCAAACTTGGAGCTAGCTCGTGATGCAGTGGGCAAAAACGTAGCGTCAGTGAAGTGCTACTGGCACCACAGCAACCATATTTCTGTCACATCCCCCTCGAGTCTAATCGCTCTGGATCTCAAAACCTGCCTATTGAGAACTCAATCTGGATGACATTTATCAATTCAACTTCACGAAGACTCTCTTTGCAGACATTTGCTATGTTGATGAACACTGATGAGGACACATTAAAGATAAGCAGAAGCAGCCCTCCGTGTTTTAAATAGAGATGAGAGCAGGCAGTCAGCTGATAATGACATTTCAATTAACACCTCACGGGGCTGCTTGGCATGTCTGCCTGGGTGACAGAGATCAGAGAGTTAAACATGATCGTATTAGCTTCGTTAGCGTTCTCAAGATGATCGTACGTGAGACGCATGAGGTACTGGTTACTACAATAACCAGACTAGATTGTACGCTGCCCATGGAGTTTGTTTGTTGTTTATTTCTTGTGCTGAGGTCAACTCAAACTTGGATCTAGCTCGTGATGCAGTGGGCAAAAACGTAGCGTCAGTGAAGTGCTACCGGCACCACAGCGACAATTCTCCAGATAACATTTCTGTCACATCCCCCTCAAATCGAATCGCTCTAGTTCCAAAAAGCTGCCTATTGAGAGCTTAATCTGGATGACAACTTCACGAAGACTCTTTGCAGACATTTGCTATGTACAGCCGACTTGTTGTAACACTGATGAATACACGCTGCAGATTTAATAAAGCAGAAGCAGCCTTCTGTGTTTTAGAGATGAACAGGCAGTCAACTGATAATGACATTTCAATTACCCTGCCTGGGATCAGTCAGTTAAACATGACCTTATTAATAGCTTCGTTAGCGCTCTCAAGGCGATTGTACGTGAGCACGCATGAGGTACTTATTACTACATTAGCCGGTCTAGATTTTTCTTTTACAAAATCCCCGCTGATGCCACAGTGTGACTGTTCTTTACAATTATGTCTATGCTAAAGTGAATCTCGAATTCATTAATGGGTGAATTAATGGTCTGCATTGTTACATCTTCAGGTTCTCTTGCCCCAGCCGTGTCGATTCTTGTATGTACTATATTTTGGTGCATATCTCGTGCTATGTCTTATGTATCCAGTAATATGAGTTAATCACTTGAGTACAGTAACAGTAGATATTGTTTTCGGTGTGTCTGTTTGTCAAATTGTGTGTCCGCAGTTATTTAGATACAGTGTTAAAATAAAGCTCACAGGAAGTGAGGGGGGATGTTATAACCGCAGACTGACCAGAACATTGACTTGAAAGTTGGAGGTCAAAATAGCCTCTCCGGAGGCTGGGAGGAACATGTAAAGAATCAACAAGAAATTCACAGTAATTTGCAGTTGTCTTCCAAGAGCAATATCGCGTCTGCGAGGAACAGACGTCACAGTCACACATATCCAATTCCACCGCCTGCACCATCAGTCATGGGAATACAGACCCTCGTGATCGTGATCGGTTTTCTATGCGCTATAACCATTTGTGCGAGACTGCAGCAGACACTGTTCAGGAAGACTGAGCGCTGTGGGAAACATGTAAATCTGTTACGTACGACGCCCGTGTACTTGATTCAGTGCTGATATCCGCTACTGAGAATATAATTGGAGGCTGGGGAGTCTGCAAAAGTATAGAGTCTCTCAAATTATTTCAACGGCGTCGGGTGTTGCTTCCGTTACGACAGCGCTGTTATGAGATACATGTGAAGAAATCCCACTGAGCGCGGTAACTGCGTTAAATTGGGAAAGGATTTTCGAGTAGGCAATCCTGTGCGGAAACAGCTTTAACGTGACTGCTTTTGTGAAAACATGAGATCCGAATTGTTACTGGAAACAGTTCAGTAACCCCACAGGCCATCATTGAACAGCACTTCACTTTTTACTGTGGATGTGATGTGAATCCGTCTCTCCTGTTTATAATTCCCTTTGATGTGGCAGTCCGCAGGCCGACCCATTCAGCAGCCTAACTTGTAAATGGCCCTGCGGGTGGAGTAAATCCTAGCGAGGAAAAGCTCAGGCTATTTTACGGTTGGCTGGAATCCCCGATCAGCCGTGGCTGTCTGCCGGACTGATAAGTTCAGGCTCACCGGTTTACACATGCACCCCGCCGCGCAAACCGCGCAGAACGGGCCGCTCCAGCGGTGAG